GATGGATGGATGGATGGATGTTTTCAGTGAAAATGAATGCCTCACCATCAGAACGCATGATAGGAGATTCATCACCAGAGCCAGCGATGGGACACAGACAGACTGCAGACAAAAAGACGAGTTCAATCAAGGCTATTATATTTTATACTCAATCATTTTCTTTGTAGACTTTGGTTCAAAAATGACATTTGTTCATGTCCAGACCATAAACCACCAAACAAAGACACACCAAGTCACCTCACAAGACTTTGTGGTTGCTGTYGACTGAGGAACTGCACCACAAAGACGGTTTGCAACAACCAGTTGAAAATAAGGTGATCTTGTTAAATAATCAACCACAGCGGTGAAATGTTTCCTTCGAATAGATTGGATCGGACATCATGAGCAGCAGAAGTTTTCTAAACTTGATTCTCATTGAACAAACATTTGAAATGCACATTMTTTTAGAAAAAAACAGCAGAATTACCATACATGACGTGGTTTTCGGTGCCTTTTAGAGCTACTTTTTTCTTTTTGCCAAAGAAACAGTGAATCTGAATTTTCATAGTCTTGTCACATTGTGAGTTTTATCTTGTGAAAAATGATGTGACATGGTATCCAGAGACGTGGAGTTTCACGGGTCTGATTTATTCATGAAGCACAAGTTAAAGACCTCAAAGAATTTAATAAATTATGAAGAGTCTTTGTGTTTTTTTCACTTCAGAGTGTTCTTAAAAACATGAAGCCTGAGATGGAGATATCCCCAGATAATGAATTGTTGAATTTGCTCAGCAAGGAAACTCCCCGAGCTCCTACAGCATGCGAAGAAGGAACTGAAGAGACTTTAAATAATCTTGACAAGGTATGGAGGAAGATGTCACTTATAAACTKCTCATTTTTTCTGCTCTGCTGTGAAAATGAATTCATTTATGGGACATGCAATTAGTTTCAATTTGTTTTAATACAAAACTTGCCTGTCAGTGCTGATCCGTGTTCTGAAAAAYGCCGCCCACTGTTTCGGACTTTTAAAACCTTATTTAGTATTACATATTTTTACATGGGAAGAGAAATAATTGGAAGGATTTTTTTTCCTGAATGATTTCAGATTGCAGCTTCAGGTGGATCAGAGGAACCACTGCATGTGTCCAACGTTTGCTGAGAGAAGAGCCAGCAGCCAGAGAAACCCCCAGTGACCTGTGTTCTGATTGCCAACAGTGTTGACCCAAAAGAGGTGAGTGAGTCTGCATCCAAGTCCACAGTCAATATGGGGCCAGAGTGATGTGAAATAACAAGAGAGATTTTGCTCWTGGTCAACGTGAGCAGCTTTAAAGTGAAATAAATAATAGCAACAAACACAATCTTGTTTTCTCTCTTGCACTTAAAATATAAACAGAAATAGCTCTAAATCTGTATTATTGTGAGGTATCACAACGAGTTGAAGGCGTTTAAAAGTTGAAGCAGTGCAATCTCAATCCTTTCGCTATTTTTGCCAACCCCTGGAGCTTTCACTGCAGCTTCAGGCGATGATAATGGTAATAAGTCCAAGCTGTAATGTTTCATAAAGTCAGCAGAGACTTTAAAGAAACCTTGCATTCTCTTTTAGATGTTTAAATTCAAGCTTAATGATAAATTGCCTAAATTATTGAATGGGACGGTCTTAAAAATCCATAAAGGTATCCATGGTGTCGGCTGCAGATGACAAATCTTATCGACTCTGAACATTATAGAGTAATTTGAGCTCAAATATAAGAGATAGTAACATTTCCTTCAGTCTCAGCTGTAGCTCTAATAGACTTAAGATGATGCATTAGTAAAAAATAAAATAAAATTCAGTGTAACCTTTGGGATTGTTCCCATTTTAGGATTTAGGTCAAAGCACAACTGAGACAAAGTAGAGCCTCAGAGTTCAGAACATGACTGGCTCTTGGCTCTGAGTARCAATCTATTTTTCAAATGTTTCAGAACAACCAAGGCGACTGACACAAATCAGAACTTCACTTTATTCACTGTCAAACCTGCTGAAAACTGAAGTGCACTCTGTAGACTGGATGATTAAAGCAATTTATATCTGCTGAGGTAGGGTTCAGTTGAAAGGTAGAAACAWTTAATATTTTACCTGTTGTAGACAGTGCTTTGAACGTTCTCAGTTTGACAAAAAAAAATTGTTTAGACCAAACTGATGAGCTATTGAATACATAAAATTGACTGCTGTCATATTGAAGCAACTTTAAAATCAAAGGTTTTGTTGTAATTTGCGTAAACGTATTTGCACAATTTATTTTGCACAAATTTTATAACACCATGAAAAGGACATTACACAGGTGTTCAACTGGAAAAACCTTTTGAATTAATATCAGGAATAGGATCACTAAATTGTGCCTGAAAAGTTTCCCAAAATCTAAATTTGGAACATTTTAGCTGGATTTTTATTCCGACTAATCTTTCCCTCCCAGATTGTGTGCAGTAAAAAGTCCTGCAGAACATCAGAAACTTTAACCGAGGCCACCTCTGATGAAACTGTGACTGAGAGGGGCTCAGCGATGGGGATAGATCAAAGGTCAGCACAGCTCTTCCATTACTGACTTTTATGATTAAAGTGTTTGAAATTAAATTTCTCTGCTACTCAATTTCTGAATTCCAATCTTCCATTAGACGCTGCAGGCTGAAAGGATTGGAATCAAAAGAGGATTCGGATGGCCAGACCCCTGAAGCAGGTTGCACACTCTACATTGACTGTAATTCCAAGCAGATTAAGATCGTCCTTGCATCACTTTGGTTCATGTGTGTTGTGACACATTTATCTCCATCACAGGACCGAGCACAAAYAAGCAAACACATACCACTCCACATGATCTACCCTTGAATGATGCTTTGATCCCTGAAAAAGGAACAGACTGTGAAAGCACATTTTCTTTCAATATAAAAAATGCTAGAATGAAGTTAAGGTTACTGTTTGTATTACCCCAGCTGAATTATTTAAAATGTGTGAAATGTGTATTATTTAAATCTACAGGGTACGATGCCTCTTGTCAAACGCTACAACAATGGAAAAATATTCACCATGATCTTTGCAGATGGGACCGGCCAAGTGTGGTATCCTTTAAAGGGAGACTTCAGATCTTTTGTAGTGATGTTCTGTGGAAAGGTTTTGAATAATTAATATCTTACCTGTTTTAGATAGCTCTTTAAACAAACTCTGGAGCTCGGCACAGTGTCAAAAGGTGTGTGAGAAAATGAATGTTGAGCCAGGTGACCGTGTGATCGGCTTCGTATCAGTTATGCTGGGCCCTTAATCTGAATGGCACCAACACAGGTGACACYAAGTGGAAAGGACAAGGAGGACAATAGCCCCGCCCCSCAGACGGCAATCATTTAGGCAYATCATGCTTTTAAATCCTTATTTGTTCAACACTTTGGTCTGAATTCCTCCTCATTKTATCTTTRYAAACTTTTTTCATCTCTGTTYTGAGGTGTATCTCAAAACAGCTCGTTTTGAGATGGTAAATCTCAAAACACCCCAACCCCCTCCAGCTTACAGAGCGATCCATTCCAGTTTGATAGAGGGKTTTATGACTACCTTGCATTGCAGAAATGTTTTATTTACAAATTAAAATATGTCAACAAGGGAAGACCATCCAGCCTTACATGTTGACGCAGAGCGAGAAGAGAATGATGATGACTAAACTGTAGTTGGTAAGTCCAGACCTTGTTTTTTTTTTGCAAATTCTTAATAGTTCAGAAAATAGAGAAACCTGACCAGGTTGTAAAATGTGRCCCAAACAAAATATTAAAATATCTACTTGGCATCAGGAGAAACTAAATTCAATTTTTTTATGCACTCAGACTCCAAGTACACAATATGACGCATTTAACAGCAAAAAAAGTGGGTTTTGTATATGTCCTAAGAGCCATCTACAACATGTAAGATATTAATTGTTCATAACCTKTCCACAGAAATACACTTGTAAAGAGCTGAGCTGTTGCTTTAAGGTAAAAAAAAAAATGCAGGGTGCAAYAGATTCCGTTCAGGCCCAGGCCTCCTTTGGGGGAAAAAAACAAAATCTGTGAACTCAATGGGATTTGCCTGGTTAAATAAAGGTTATTAATGAATAGTTGGGACAGTTTACTACCTTGTTATCATTAATTGTGCATCTACCTTAATCATGTGTAAAAGCTATCCATCAGGAAGGCTTGCTATTCTTGTGGCTGCTGATCAAACTGCTGACTGGTCATGTGTGGTGGTTCTGGAGGACAAAGAAAATGAGCCTTGCATTCAGGCAATTTTCACAGACAGAGGACACAACACCTGTCATCATAAAAATGGCAGCATTTGGTAAGTTTCGTTTATTCATTTGTCATATTTCCCATGCTTCATTAGTGCAAAATCAACAAAATAGGCAGGAATCAAACATTCCACTTTAAAAAATACTTCAGGGGCCTTATTATTCACTACTCTTAATTAGGGTTAATCTCACTTCATGGGGAGGCATCTGCTGCAATGAGACAGGAGCTTTAAAGAAACACTGGAGCTGCCTGGACAATAAACATGTCCACACTCCACCATGCCAGCCACTCAGCTTGACTCTTGAGCCCCGTCAACATCCGTATCAAATAGGTCATTTGCATCACTTTCACCTCTGATAAAGGCAGCATACAGCGCTGCAAAGAAGCTAAACTCAAAGTACATTGCTGTGACCTTTAGTATTATTTCTGTGAAGCAACAGCTTCAGACTCGGACCAAATCATCCCTCTTTTTTTCTGCTTTGCATTTCTTCGGTCCYGCAGCTGAATGAAAGCAAAGATCTAATGATGCCAGTGCCCGACTTGCTTCAGAGGTATCTGAGCCAGAAAAGCGAAGAGATMAATGTACTGCTTCAGAACATCCAGTCCCTCGTCACCTATCAAAAGGCCGCCGGTCCTCAGAAGGTCAAGCTCCAGCCCAGTCTCATCTCACAGATGGAAAGACGGCGGCTGCCAGTGGAACAGCAGCACACTGCCAAGAAGACCCCCCAAAGCTGACGATGTCCTTCAGGAGGATTGTCTCATTTAGGGCCGCGGCGTCTCTTGAATTTGAATTYAACAACTAAGTGCTTTTTAGAAATAAAGCCAAATAACATTATTAACCTCTTTTTAATTAGAATGTCCATAAATAGAAGACCTCTACACAATATTTCACATGGGACGCACTGAAGCACATTATACACTGATAACAATCTGGTACTTTAGATACTCTGTTACTCTGAGACATTCATTTATCTTCTACAGAGCAAAACTCCCACCATCTATTATGTTAGAACAAATGTATACTAAATTTAATCAATCTAGTTATAAAAKAAAGATTATAAAACAAAACATTTCAATATGACAAATGTGTAACAGAAAAACTAAATCCTGGGGGATGAAACAGTTTAAAGAAAACYTGTAGATGAAAAAAACCTGTTGGACCTGAGTCACCTGTAGCTCAGGTCATCACTGAGTCACACTGAATGGGTCACAAAGACTCTGACATGTTCAAAATATACGTAATTGAGCCTTTTGCAGCATTTTCTTTATGCCATCATTCCTAACCTGGGAAGGAAATTTAGGCCTATAACTGAACTTACTGGCTACTAACTTCCTGCCTGATGAGCAGCCGTTTAACATGTCGATTTGTGAATCTAATGATTTTTCATTCCATTTTCATAGAAGAACAGAATGTTTTTTAGGTTTTCCCTCCCCACAAAAAAAGAAAAGAAAAATGGTGGTAGGAAAGCCAAAAGCAACCCACCACCACCTTTATATTTTTTGCTAAACAAAATGAGCCGCTCAGTACCCAAAAGGTTACTCCTCCCGCTGTTCCGAGCACCCAAACCTCTATCGAAATCAAAACCTTTGGACTTGAGCAAGATTTGTTTTTAATGTCCAGCCCGCACTCCTGGCCCTGCAGGCAGCACAGGTGCAGATTTATCTGGTCTTCTTGCTGCGTTATGGCTCCGGGTCATGGCTGAAGCTACGGCTTCACGTTGCTCCGGAGTGCGTCTTCACCAGCATCCATTCAGCCAACATTACTTATTCACAGACAGCAGCAGGTTAATCTGAAAGAGAGGTGTGAAAAATGATGAGCGCTCACTGTGCCGGTGCTGATACACKTTATTTAATGTTAATTTCCCAAAGTTTGCTTGCAGCAGTTTTTGGATGCTGTCCCAGTGTTATTTAAACTATCCCAAGCCCCCTGAAGGCGGTGCTAATCCCACAGTGCTGCACCTGCTCCATAGATGGACATGCGATGATTTGAAGGTCTTCTCCACTGTATTCCTCCTGAAGCAAGCCGTGCAGTCTTTGGAATACCTGCTGGATGTTATTCTGCAGGAGAAAAAATAAAAACCCATCCTATTACTGAGTGCTGGAGGAAAATTAAACCACATTTCCATCTGGCCTCTGTCCCCTTACTCTCCTGTTTCCATGTCAACCACTGAATTTTGTCTCTCCCTCATTCAGCCTCACCTGGCACCTTGATGAATAGTACACAGGAAGCAGAAATATTTCTCTATTAGAGTTCAAATCACGCTGACAATTTTTTGGCCTAAAAGGCACAATCTCCATGCCACATTTAATCAAAGCAGTCATCATAAAAGCAGATCTCAGACACAGAATCTCTCCAAAATTCATCGTTGGGCTTCTTAATATCATGTCTGATTTCTGCAGCTGAATAAGTTCTGATGTGATGAAAGACTTGTTTACATGACAGCAAAACTGGATTATTAAAACAAAAGAGTAAAGCAATAAAAGTTCAGCTTTCCACTGATACGTATAAATAATATTAAGTAGTTTTAAAGTAACAGACAGAGCCTTCCTTGAAGGAAWAAATAAGCTGGCCATGTTCCATGCTAATGTTTTAGACTAAGATCCTGAAAACAACAATAAGCACAATCTCATGCATTATTAAGATGTTTAGCAGTACATCCTGCTGCTTAGAATTTGTTTTGTGAGTGATCACCAGACACAACAAATTAAAAACTGGCAGATTTATAGTCATTTTTTWWATATTTTCTAAGGTCAGTTGGCTGTGAMTRYTTGACTTGGGCTGAGTACAAAACTTAATCCATTGTAAATGTCAACCTAATGATTATGAAAGTGTTGATTAAATCCATACAATAGTTCATTAGATATTTTGCAAACTGTACAAAAAAAATAAACATTATTGCCTTCAGGAGTGGGTGATAAAAACAGCAAAAATATAAGATCTGTCAGTACAAAAACAAGGTACTCCAAGTCTGTAATACTGTGGCGTCTGAAAGGTTKTTTTTTTTTTAATTAAAAGAAACTGAGTCATTTTGTTCATGTTAGGCTGAAGCTTTTCTGCCACCCACCCGGACAGGCTTGAAAAGGATGAACTCTGTGTCTCTATTGGCCAAGTACAAGGACATGCTCTGTAAAGTGCTGGGCAGCTTGCTCTTCATCACCCTGTAGGTGGCCATCACTATATCGTTGATCTTGGCTGAAAGAGAGATGGGGAAGAAAGAGAAAAAAAAAATTACAGTAGACTGGGTGAAAAAAAAAAAAAACCAAGACAAAGAAAAACATTGACGTGCCCTCTAGCATTTCCTACACAGGTTTTGATGGATTGCTGTATGATGCCCGTGGCGTTTCCTAAAACAAATCTCACCTGGCTGAGCCCAAGGTTGCTGAGACAGGCTGTACGTGGGACCACCTTGCACTGCCATGGTTTTAAGAGCTGCAACCTGAGTGCAGCCAAAACAAAACGTTACAACAGAGCTAAAAGCTGTGCAGTCAATTCAGGTAATGTACTTATGTCTCAAATTTAAAAAGGGAGGAATCATCTAATAAGTAACAGCTGAATAACTGGCTGTTAGGAGGAAAAGAAGAGATAAATGAGACTTAGACCAGGGGTTCTCAAACCTTTTTAGTCTAGGGACCCCTTACAATGGCGAAAAACATTCCAGGGACCCCCTCATAAACCCCCTGCTGTTTTAAAAGATAGTTTGTCATTTCAACCCCTAAATGCCATGGGAATATATATTTTTATTCAGTTTATTATGCTTGTTTTATTAGTTCATTATTCTTCGTGCAGTTTTTAAACATAAACAAATAAACACTTTAGTGAAATTTTTTGAGGACCCCCAAGATACCTCTCATGGACCCCAGTTTGAGAACCTCCGACTTAGACAACCAAACTTATTGTATAAACCAGGCACACGGACATTTAATTAAAATAAAAAAATAAAAAATGTGATAAAAAGGCTGCTATTCTTTCTCTACTTAACAGATTTACAGAGACCTTTGGTGATAAGCGAACAAGCAAATGATTTTTAAACAAACATTTTCAAAAACTGGAAAATAATCAAATAAAGAAAGGAAGGTCAGGATGAGCTGCTTCTGCCTGAGGACAAGTCTGCCTTCGCTTTAACAGTTACCTTGGTGAGAAACTCCTCAAGGTTCCCCACAAAGATCTGAGTCTGCTGCTGGATAAACTGCTCACAGCTGAACTTCAGGTGTCGGTCCACATCTTTCTTTGAGTCAATGTAGTGCTCCTTTATCTCTGGTGTTCCCTGGGGGGTCATAGAGGAAAAAGGCTTTAGCACTTATCAAGTGGTGGTTCCCTTAGGCAGGGTGCTATCAAAGTACATAAAGTGAATGGTATGTTTAATATAAAAGGTGAGAGAGGGTGGAAAAAAAATATATATATACCTCCAACAGGAATTCAAGGATGGCATTGTGACTATTGAGTCGGAAGAATTTGGGAACAGCCTTAGGGTTCAGGATTTTGAAGGCAGCATCTTGAACACAAAGCGGAGAGATTAAATCTTGGACTGGTGTAGAATAACAGTGCCATCTAGTGCCACAAATTTAAACATGTCATTAACTGAGACAAGGGTGATAAGGAGGAGCCACTTTGCCCCGAGAGGCATCGGTTAATGTACATTATGGTGTTGGATTACAATCTCCACATTAATTGTTGCCACCGGTGCATGTGATAGGCACAAGTTGCTTAATGAGCATGAAAATGTAATGATTGGCTTTATGGAGCTGAACACCAATGTTCTCTCTCCGCCTTTAATTATCTTACCTCGTGTTTTTTTCAGGTCCAGTGAGATTTCCTTGATGGCAAAATCAGTATGAAATGGGGCAATCTGTTCACGCATTATCAGCAGGTGCTTGATCAGGAAAAGTTGCCCGTCTATTTGTGTCTGTGGACAAGTGAAAGCACGCCGTTATTTCCACACTGCAGGCTGCCAACACCAAAAACAGGGGCATCTGCTGACTATCCAAACTACAGAGAACATAAAAAGCACAGGCTTGGTGATGATAAGGAAATGTGTCTAATTAATAACTGCTGATTAACCAGAGCCCGAAAGGGAATATCACTGTGACAAATAAGGAAGCTGAAATCATGTAATGTTCAGCTAGAAACTAAAAGACTGGAAAACGACATCATGAACATAGAGGGGGAACAGATCCTGAGATTAATGCTGCCATTTTAATCTCATGGGAGGTGTAAGGTTGGAATGCCATTTAGCACCAGATACTGACAGGAAATTTCAAAGTGAGAAATAAAAGATGGTTTTGTTGAACTTTCTGTGGGAAAGAAAAAGTTTTTTGTTACATTAAATGAATTAAATTAAAACAATACAATAACGTAAGAAAGGACTTGTTTAGTTAAATGGCTTATTGCTTTCTTCCCCATTTTGAATGAAATGATTAAATTTGTCATCTCTTTTGGTTTAACAACCCTAATTAAAATTTCTGAGAAGAAAAAGATGTCTTKATCTCTGGAAAGCATTCAGTTAGAGCTAACACACTTAATATTTTAAGAAAGATTACTTTTTTATTACATCTTTCCCAGTTCAAAATTAAAAAAAGATACCACACAGGTCAAAAGTAGATGGATTCAGTTAAGAAGATGCTAAGAGGGGTCCAATGCTGCACATTTTAAGAGACTTTTAAAAACTCTGAATTTTAAGAGCTTTGAGATCTTAGTGGAAGTAAATGCGTAGACTGAAATTTCATATGGTGCTCTTTAGTTTTCCTATTTTTAACAGTGTAAAAAACCAAACCACATAAATCTTTATGCTCTAAAAAACTTTCTTGGAAATTTGACTAGGGGTGCCTAAACTCGATAACGCCACCGTAAAACCAGCCTTTATTTCCCCAGCAAATTTTATCACACTGAAAACTTGAAATACAAAGCCATATTCTATTCTAAGCTTAACAATGCGTGCAAACCTTGTTTTTAAGGATTATATCAGAAGCTTTAAGCAGCGACTGGATGCAGGCAGATAAGGCTTCTTGAGATAAACCCTGGAACACTGCTTTCTAGAAAAAAAAGACAAAAACTTGGTGTAATAAAACCCATTAATAATAAATGCRAAACTGCTCTAATTAAACACTTCACATTGTCCTAATAAAAAATGGAAGTCTTACATCTATGCATCTGTAGAGCTTAGACAGACAAACCAATGTTCGCCTGACAGTTGGGTACCACATGCCGTGCAGATCGGCAGGAGACACAGATGTGTGAAGACGAGATGCTTCTACGCTGCCTGTTTTATCATACAAAAAAAAAAGAGAAAAAACATGAGGCAAATTCAAACAATAATTATTGTTATTAAAAATAAAAGATTTATAAAACAAGGAAACAGACTGGCATTGCTGTTTCTTCTCTCATCAGCATCTTCAAGCTGTACGTCTGAAAACTCTTGTGACTTCTGCTTCATCTGTTCTTCCTTCAAACTCTGAGCAATTCTCTAATGAGGACAAGACAGAATATTAATTACAGAAATACTAACAATTCCAAGTATTAAAGGGTGAATTAACAAACATTACACAAAGATCTGTTTACAGATGCATAGGCGGCTACACATATTAAGAAAACATCAAACAACAGAAGTGTTATAGCTGTGGAACACAAAGCTGAGACACTCAAAACATGAGTGAATATCCATGAGATCAAAGCCATTCAAAGGTCTTTAATTTTACATGAAAGGTTTAAACAACTGCAACATTTTATTAAAAGATAGAAAAGTGTAAGAAGCAGTAASTCCTTTTTTGTTCCTCGGCTACAGAAGTGTAAAGGTCTTTGAAAGCGTAACATAAAATAAAACTTCTAAAGGAAAAATAAATAAAAAAGACAGTATGTGAAGACAAAAAGTCTGTTTTTACTGTCAGTGATTTTGAGAAAACTGTTTTTGTGCAGCATTTTAAGGCTTTGTCCTTTTATAAATCTGCAGAAAAAATATCAAAGTCAACTTTGTGAATTACGCCAACCTTCCAAACCAAAGGGTTTCTGAAGAACAAATACTAATTTCACAATGATTAGACAAATTTGTAAATAAAAAGTTAACCATTAAAGAAAAAAAAAGCTGAAACTCTACAGTACATGCATGTCTCAGCCAAATTCATCTTTGATGGGTAGAGCTGGTTCTAAATAGGCTAAAACGGTTTAACAACACAAAACAAAGACATGTCAAAACAAAAGCTTTTTGTAGTTTAAATACCACTCAGWGTCAAAGTACAAAATAAGCCTTTTTACTATTCAGCACACAAACCTTACCTCCATCATTTCCAGTTTTTCAGGGTAGGCCAGATCACCTGGAGCTGGGTTGTAACCCATGATATCAGTCTGAATGTAAATGTGAGTCCTGTAGACCAGCCTCTCCTGGACATCCTCCAGCATCTGCTTCACTACAGCATCAAAGGCGCCCAGCTGAGCAGCTACATGAAAGCGCATCGAGGTCAGTCCCACCAGAATCAAAATCACAACAAGAGTTCACTTTTTGTGAATAAATCAAACTTAAAAAGTTCTGAGTCTTTTTGTGGCTGGGCTCGGCCAACAACACAAGCTACAGCCGCATGCTTGAAGAAAAAAAATACATTTCTAACGCAGTATCAAACACCACGCAAAGCACATATATAAACACACAAACAAGCAGAACTCTAAACCCCAACAAGACAATGGGAATGACAACAAACAGAGCAGACAARAAATWTTAARAAATACTCGTATTTGTCTCATATTYAGACATAATTTMGTCCCATCTCACAATAAATTCAATTAACTTTTTCTTCTAGTAATCATTAAAAAACACCACATTCTTTTGCCAAATGAGTGGAAACCTTCATCTATGTATTTCTGCATTCAGTTGTGCTTTCTATAAATGAAAGATGTACATAGAGTAGAAGTCAGAGCCATCTATTTATCTAAAAAAGCTGATTGGTTGCCATTATGGTATGCTTTATGCATGTAAAAACATTTGAGTTAGTTCTGCAACTTAAATCATGTATTGAACTTACCATGTTTTATATATGTGAAATGTTTTTTATCATACCCCTTTCTTTTTTCTCATCCTGTCTCATGTGTCTCTCATTATTTTAGTAAAAACAAAACATCTGAATTTAAAGTGATCCAAGATTAGTTGTAACATTAAACTTTATTTGATAAACATTTATTTTAACTGTAAAATAAAGACTGTAAAAATACTGTAGGCTGTTTAGTTTTGTAATTTTTTTTAAATATATTTTAACACGGATGGAGCCATTTTATTTACACGCAAAGCATCCTTGGTAAATGATGACATCAACTAGGTCATCGGTGCGAGGCTGCTAGCGAGCTATATCCACCCTGAAGGTTAATTTTGGACAATATCTGATGATCGACTCTTTTAAATGAAACCAGAGAGCGTTGACAGAGAGGAGAAGGTAGAAATGACAGCCTGTAACTGAAAATATGGATGGAGGACAACAGAGCTGCTTCATGGAAGAAGAACCTCAGYTTAGCCTGTTAGCCTTTGCGCTAGCGCCCACGCTATATTGCCTTATATGTATTAGCGCAGTGCTAGCGCGACAAACAAACTAAACTGAGGCCCTCCATCCATATTTTCAGTTGCGGACAGCCATTTTTGTGTTCCCCTCTCTGTCATGTGGATGGAGGACCTCAGTGACGAGAGGAGAATGTGTAGCGCTGAGCTAATACATATATATGGTGATAGCGCCGGGGCTAACGCTAAAGRTAACAGGCTAAGCTGAGGTTCTTCCATGAAGCAGCTCTGTTGTCCTCCATCCATATTTTCAGTTACAGGCTGAGTCATTTCTACCTTCTCCTCTCTGTCAACKCTCTCTGGTTTCATTTAAAAGAGTCAATCATCAGATATTGTCCAAGATTAACCTTCAGGGTGGATATAGCTCGCTAGCAACCTCACACAGATGACCTAACTGATGTCATCATTTACCCAGAATGCTTTGTGTGTTAATAAAATGGCCCCGTCCGTGTAATATATTTTTAAATTTTTTGTTTAAAAATGATAAAAAACTGAACATCCTACAGTATTTTTACAGTCTTTATTTTACAGTTAATGTATATGTTTATCATATAAAGTCTAATGTTACAACTAATCGGGGATCCMTTTAATAAATGTACTTTATTTAATCTAGCAGATTTGTATGAGTGTTAACCGTGTCTTGCATTTTGACATTTTGTTTAGATCCAAAAAGACGAAATGACTTTATGTTCCTGTATTCAGTCCTAATAAGGGAAATGCAAATTACCAAATCATGAAAGCATATTATATAGTATAGTACAAAAATAAACAGTGGAAGACAAATTGTTATTTCACTTGGATTTGAACTCTGGTTTTAAAAGTTCACTGGAAGCAAATAAATGTGCACAAACAGACAGACCTATTTAATTTCCTGCAACACACACATATGCACGGGCACACACACCATGCTAGAGGAAATGAGTGTAGACCCATTAAAAACTAACTACATAAGCACTGGCAAAGCTTTCAAAAAGAAGAAAACAACTGCAGGCACAATATTAGTAAATGTGACAATATTATGAGCATTCTGAGTAAAATTACAGCCCAYGTACATTTTGCATTCTTGTTCTATAAGAGCATTATTTGAGAAAAGTAGTTTACCATGCAAGTGTCGAGTGCCAAGTGAACAAAACAGCAGTTATGGCCTCATAGCAGCAAATATGCAGGGACATTTCTGATATGCATAGCAGGTGACTGTTTAAGCTACAGTTTATGGTAAGCATCAACATAGTTTCGAAGAAAAAAACAAAACAAAACTAAAAGCTCTGTGTTCATCTGACATCCAAGCAAAGTCTTTAATGGTGGTTTTCTCTACTTGCATCAATACAATTTCATAACCATAGTTCCCAAAAACAGCTCTCTCATGAAAAAAGAGCTTATACTGTATGTTACTGTGTTGTGAATGTCCTTTCTTATGATTTTATAATCTACATTTCTATTTTATCTTTGTTAAATTACTGTGGTGTACTCAAGAGGAACTACAAAAATGAGATGTGTGTGCAAATATTTATGTAGCTGACTGAGAAATTAATGGGCATTAGTGAATTTGGTTGGCTTGAGATGAAACATGTCAACTGAAAAAACACTCCAAAAGAAACAAAAACAGAGCTACCTTGAATTTTTCTGAACCATTATTGGAAAAAATTACTGAATGCATTCCTTAAAAAATACATAAAAGTCATGCCAAGAATTTCTAATCTGGAGAAATTAAAAACAGTTACTGTGTTTTCTTCTAACTAATTTTAAACTAAAAAAAAAAAACTTTAGTTTCTGATTTTACTTATATTTACAAAATGTCACCATATTAATTTTTACAATGAAATTTACTCCTAATAAGAAGCCTTTATTTTAGTACTTTATTTTCTGCTAAATTTAGCCACTACTTCCTATATTGTTGTGAATAAATTAATTCTATATATGGAAATATGTTCAAAATCTACAAAAAATACTATATTGTAGCACAACAAAAATACCAACACTGACAGGGATAACAAAGTCAGTCTGCCGCTGTTGTATTGTGGTAAGCTACRTCTAATCCTGCACACAGCAGAGCAGATGAGGAGCTTTGAGAATAAAAAGAGCTCAAACCTACCATTGTTATGTACATGGTCTTCCAGCATCTCAGTCTTTAGGATGCTGCAGAGCTCAGACAGGGTTTCAAGGTGGATGATGTGGATAATCAGAGGTCGAAGAACATCGTACAGCGACAAGCACAGCTTCTCCAGAAGCTCACTGCCAGAGATCAGAAACATGTCAGAACTTTCAACATCTTAAAAACTCTAAACTTTCTACCTCAAATTCTAACTTGAAGTTGAACAATAAAGAAGAAAATGTGCTATCTAATGCGTAAAGTGACAACTCGTGTTTTCCCAAACACAAAYGGTAGAAGAACCTTGAAAAGACGTTTTTACACTTTGTAAACGTTCCGCCTTATGCAAACAAAGTCCCTGTATTTATGTTCTTGAACAATGACTGTATTCAGCAATCATGTAAGCAGTGTGGCAGGTGCTACTCACTCTAGTTTAGGTGTTGGTTTGGAGAAGAACTCATTGTACAGCTGGTGTTCATCCTGACACACATGGACCATAAAGGCACAGCCACTGCGAACCTGCAAAGACAAATAAATAAATTAAAAATAAATAAATAAATAAATGACAGTGCCTACAAGTGTCTTTAAACAATACTATTTCTGTGATAAGCTTTAAGTCAGCTTCTAGAAAAAAGAAGTCAAACAATGCATATTTTATATATGAGGCATGACTGCATGTATGCTAACAACGTTCAGTTTCTGTCCATCAATTTAGGAGCAAATCCTTTGACGGCTGCTGTAAACAGTATCTACTCATGTCCACTTATCCTGTTCCCTACTTTTGCCTCTTCCAAACACTCTTGACAACGTCCCAGAGGGCCCCATGCTATCCATTCTGCACAAATCGAAATGTCATCTTAAAATATCTAAAGGGCAGCTGCAGCTTTGAACTTGTCATGCCTTACCAGCGCACAGTGGTCTTTGCTGTTTTGCTTGGTTAAGTCAGTAATGGTGGATGTAATGCAGGGACTGAGGAGCTGCTCTCTCTGGTCAAGATAGCACTGATGGATTTCATCTAAGAGGTGCTGGTATCTGTTCATATCAGTAAAAAGATAGTTAATTCAGAGCCTTAAAGGAAAAAAAATAGGGTAGCTAATGCTGCTGCTTCGTTTAAAAAAATAAAATAAAAAAACATGAAACTCACTCGGGAATCGTCTTCGTCCGCTGCTCTATCTGTTCAATCAGTGACTGGAGGCAGAAAATGTTAATAAAAAATGCAATAATATATATTTTTAAATGTTGTGCTACTCATCATAATTAATATACTCACTCTAACTTTGGGTGCAGCCGCTCTAAACTTAACATAATAAAGTGTAAAGGCATTATCTGCATTTGTCAAGCCCATTGGATCCTGGGAAGAATGAAAACAAAACAGTTTTATATAAATATTTAACTTCATGATTGCATGAGTCAAATAAAATTACCRTTTCATTAACCTAATACCAACAATTAAGTTAATTGAGCGAGGTGAACATAAAATCYATATCAATAGCTGCAAACAGTGCATTAAGCCTTGTTTTATAGGKCCTATTAAACACATTACTCTCAAATAAGCAATATTACCACAACATTGTTATGGTTGTTTTTTTAAGTATTCTGATTATCGTCCATGTCTAAATACAAGACCMCTGATGTGCAGTTAAAATAAAATAACTGTTAAAGACTACAAATCAGCTGAAATTCTTTTTTGGCAATACTGAGGACAAAATCTTTCCTCTTAGGAAAACAAAATGAAGTGTTGAGGAAAAGAGCAGTCTTTTCATATTTTCATTCATCTAATTTCATAAGCTTCAACACATAAACCTTGTTTGGAAGAACTGGCAAATTCAAAACTTACAGGAAACAAAAAAAATTGAAAATTGTTATACCTATTGAACCATCTTGAACAAAACAATTTCCAAAAGATACAAATTTCTTATGCAGGAAGAAAATCGTTTTTTTCCTTACCCTTTTTGTTAACTGGTTGGTGAGAGATTGCATAGTGTTTACAATGTAGACCTTCATGAAGTGCATAGCTTTAGAGAGACATTGTTTAAATTTGGACAAATAAACTGGATAATCCTTAAAATTAGGCTGTAATAAACAGAAAAAAAAAACATATGTTACACATATTTAACAAACATAAATAAAAAGTTCATACCAGCTTAGAAGAATGGTGTTTATATTTCAGGTTAACATGCTAGATATCTGCAAGGATTACATGAAATAAAGACATTCAAGCACCAACTACAGTCCATAAATGCAATTTTGCACATATTTATCCATTCTAAAAAGGTGTACAAAATACACAGAAACAAAAAGTGAAGCGAGTAAGCTACTTACATGTGAGGAAACATATTCTATGCAGTCATCCAATTTGGACAACATTGGTATAAAACCTTCACTATTTACAGATAAAGTTGGAGAATTTAATTTCTGCAAAAACAGAAGAACTGTGTTAAACATAAAGACATTTTAAACTAAGTCAGTTTTGTCAAAACAACCACATTGCTTAGACTTCAAAACACTTCAGTGTGCTAGTTGTACTTTCAAAGCAGTTACAGACTATTCTGTGATAAAAAAAAAATGCAGGGTTTTTAATTGGGGTTGAACTACATACAGTTGAAGAAATAAGTATTTGATCATTTTGCCTACTTACAAAGACATGAACAGTATTATTGTAAGGGTAGGTTAATTTTAACAATGTTTAAAAAAATCCAAAATATTATTTTATAAATTATATACATTTATTTGCATTTTGCAGAGAGAAATAAGTATTTGATCCCCTACCAACCATTAGGAGTTCTGGCACCTTCAGACCACTTAGACAGTCTTAGGGTGTATTCAGACCAGGAAAGTCTTTTGGTCCAATTGTTTGGTCCGGACCAAAAGTGGACTTTTTTTTTTCRTTTGGTGCGGTTTGCATTCACATTGTGCTTTTTTGCAAATGAACTATAACTTGTAAAAAAACCATCAGGCTGATGATCATTGCTCCAATTGGACAAAAAAAGGACTGGGGCGGGACTGAGCCACAGATCCAGAAGAAAACAAGGAAGTCCTGCATGCTGTGGTTCTGATGTGCACATTTTTGCTGATAGTACAACTGCAATAGCATTTAAAATGTCAGAAGCAGCTAATTTAATGGTGGTTCCGTGATGATATTCTAATCTTGGAGCGGCGTCAGTAAATGTGTCCCGCAACCCAAAGGAGAAGAGGTGCGCTGTGTGTTCTGACCCACAACATGCCGGCAGTAGAGCGGCTAACAGGAGACGACGAAACAGGTATGTTTTCAGTTTATTTTTAGCTCAGCAACGGTGGCCTGTGAAGTCCAAAAAGGTGCATGTTTAATGCAGTTGGTTCGGTTCGAGTCCGGTCTGTATTCACACCAGAAGCAAACTGAAGTGAACCGCACCAGAGTTAGTTTGGAAGCGGACCGAGACCACCTCAAATAGCAGGTCTCGGTCCGGTTGTTTGATCCGCACCAGAGTTCGCATGAGTGTATTCACACCTGCACAAAAGGTCCGGACCAATGCTGGAAACGAACTCTGGTTCGTTTAAAGCGGAGCAAATTATCAGGTCTGAATACGACCTTAATCAACTGGTTCCCTGCATTAAAGTTCAGTCCATTTATCATTAAAGACAGCTGTTTTAAATTGGCACCTGTATAAAAGACTCCTGTCCACAGACTCAATTAATCAGTCAGACTCTGACCTCTACAACATGGACAAGACCAAATAGTTGTCTAAGGATGTCAGACAAGATCATAGACCTACACAAGGCTGGAATGGGCTACAAAACCATCAGTAAGACGCTGGGCGAGGAGGAGACAACTGTTGGTGCAATGGAAAGAAAATGGAAGAAATACTAAATGAATTTCAATCAACACTGATCTTGGGCTACATGCAAAATCTCACCTCGTCGGGTATCCTTGATCATGAGAAAGGTGAGAGATCAGCCTAGAACTATACGGGGGAACTTGTTAATGATCTCAAGGCAGCAGAGAGCACAGTCACCAAGAAAACCATTGGTAACACATTACAGCATAGCGGATTAAAATCCTGTACTGCCAGCAAAATCTTCCTGCTCAAGAAGGCACATGTGCAGGCCCGTCTGAAGTTTGCCAATGAACACCTGGATGATTCTGAGTCACATGAGACAAAAATTGAGCTTTATGGCATTAATTCAACTTGCCATGTTTGGAGGAAGAAAAATGCTGACTATGACCTAAAGAACATCATCCCCACTCTCAAGCATGGAGGTGGAAACATTATGTTTTTGTGGAGTTTCTCTGCTAAAAGACACAGGAATACTTCACCACATAATGGAGCCATGTACTGTAAACTACTGAGTAACAACCTCCTTCCCTCCACCAGGATGTGTTGTGGCTGGGTCTTGCATGACAATGATCCCAAACATAATACAGCCAAGACAACAAAGGAGTGGCTCAAAAAGAAGCACATTAAGGTCATGGAGTGGCCTAACCAGTCTCCAGACCTTAATCCCATCGAAAACATAAGGAGGGAGCTGAAACTCAGAGTTGCCAAGCGACAGCCTCAAACTCTTAATGATTTAAAGATGATCTGTAAAGAAGAGTGGACCAAAACCCCTCCGACATGTGTGCAAACCTCATCTTCAACTACAAAAAGTCTGACTGCTGTGCTTGCCAACAAGGGCTTTGTCACCAAGTATTGTTTTGTTTGCCAGAGGAATCAAATACTTTTTTCTCTCTGCAAAATGCAAATTTATATCATTTATACAATGTGATTTTATGGATTTTTGTTATCTCTCACTGTTAAAATTAACCTACCCTTAATATTATAGACTGTTCATATCTTTGTAGGTGGGCAAATTTGCAAAATCAGCAAGGGATCAAATACTTATTTCCATCACTGCAGATTCAGAAGAAAATCATTTGACATGCTATTTTAAAACTAGAACATGGTGCCTAATCCTTTTTTATTAACAGAGTAGCCAACACAATACTTACACAGTGCATATAACTGTTTAGATAATAATAGAGAAGAAACTCAGCTTACCGTGTTTATGTTTTCTAGTTCATTAAAATATGATAGTTTCTGCTGAATGCTCTCTGCAAGGTCAACAAGTTCTGACTGTAAGGAGCAAAGACAAAACACAGTTGAATGATGTGATACCATCACAACTTCTGATTAGAAGTGCAGTCTGCATTTATTTGCAGATCAGTTTGAAAATAAAATCTGTTTATAAAAAAGGTACTAGGCAAAGCGGAAAATGCTTAGAAGGAATACACTCCTGATCAAAATTTTAAGACCAGTTGAAAAATGGCAACAATTCACATTTTGTACTTTTGGATCGTAAGAAAGTTCTAAGTAGAGCTTTGATTTGCAAAAAGAAAAAAAATTAGAGTGAGAAAAAAAATATGCAAGTAACTTTTTTTTTGCAAACAAAGATTAAACTGAAATAGGCTGTTTATCAGCTGATCAAAAGTTTCAAACCATGTCTCCAAAAAGATTAAAAAAAGGATAAAAATAATAAAAACTGAAAAAAAAGGACTCAGTAATGAGCATCTCAGGTGGGAWCTCCTTGTGATGGCACTAACGTTGGAAGCCATCAGGACGGTCAAAGATTTATTTACTTTTTTCCCTCATCAGGGAATAAAATTTCTTCCACTTTTCAATGTCCCATGTTTGATCTTGTTAAAACACTTCTGCACAGATGTCATCTAATGGTTATGTGACTGCAGTTGGCACCACTGATCAGCTTAATTTGGGCTTGACAGACAGCCAATTAGATCCTCCGGATGAGGGCTGGTGAAATTTTTTGGGGTATACCACATGATTTTCAGAATCAGAATCCGAATACTTTTTTGATCCCTGAGGTAAATTACAGGTATTACAGCTGCAACCGTTCAGATCAGACAMATATGAAAAGAAAGAAAGGTTATTGTTCCCTAACCCAGACAATCTTTTATGAAGTTTAAAAGCACTTTCTTACTTTGTCCAATCTCAGCATCAATGGCACACTGCGAGAGGCCTTGCTTATGCAGCTCAACAACCTGACTGCGTTCAAAGAGAGAAAACTTTTTTTTGCCTTTGCCATCAGGTAGTGTGACACTGAATCCACATTTTTGTGAAGATCTGGGTTTTTAAATACTGTGGTCTTAAACTTTGATTAGCTGATGAACAGCCTAGTTTAGTTTAACACTTGTTTGCAATAAAATGCCTACTTAGATGTATTTTAGTTCCACTCCCATTTCTTATTTGCATTTTGAAGCTTTATTTATAACCTTCTTATGATCCAACAATGCAAAATGTGAATTATTGCTGTTTTTCAATTGGCCTTAAAATTTTGATCATGAGTGTATATATCCTTGTTAGTCTTTATCTGAGTGTTATTGTTCTGAACTTGACAGTATACAGTATTTCCAGTGATTTATAAATATTGTTTTTCAAAAACTAAAAAAAGGAAAAAAAAACATTGAGATAAACTGTTCAACAGCAATCTGCCATGCACAAACGTCAACACTGAGTTCACCTTACTTGTTCTTTGAGGAGCTGTTCACAAGCCTCGTGTAGGGCACCAGTCTTATTGGACACAAACAGGTACTGCTTCTGAAGAGAATCCAAGTGCTCGAGAGCTACACTGACATCTTTCAGAATGGCATCACATTGTTCCTGGTAGCAGTTTAAATCATCTCTGGTTCTCCTGAAGGAAACACAGGCGTTTGTAAGCTTTCCATAAAACAAAAGAGCTACTGAAGATTACGATTTTCAAGTAAGACAAATTTAAACCATCACAACAATAACGTAATTTGTTTTTATCAAGGCAAAATAAGTGGCATATCAGTGGGTGTGTTCAAAAGAAACACTGAAGCCAAGCTTGGTTTGCCTCTTGGACAAAGACATTAAAAATGTGGAACCTATTCATCAGAAATAGAAAAAATTATTTTAAGTAAAGTCTTTGGCACCTGTACTTTGTGCTTTCATCCAGATCCATGTGTGACTGTAACTTTGCAAAACAGGCAAAAAACTGCAGAAAAAAAATTGCATCATATTACAATCATGCATCTCAATACGTTTTCCCACGCATTGTTTACTAAGAAACAATAGCAATCACCTGTTGTGCCGTTTCTATCCTATCATTTTCCATATCTAGAATTTGAAAACCTTTGAGCAGGATGTCCTCTATTGAGGCAGGCACGGTTGCTGTGAATGGAGACTGCAAGGACCGAGATGACAGGCTGCATAAGTCTTCAATGGGTAACTGCGGAACAAAACAGGGATTATTTGGTATTTGACACAATTCTTATGAAGCTAATTAGCAAAGTAGCTAATTTTGCTGGAACGCAAATACAAGCAAATAAAAGTGTCCCACAAGCATGAAACATTGATAAATCAACTTCAATATGATCCCAACACGTCGGAGAAATAGATGAAGTTAATACAAGGCAGCTTTAACGTGGAAAGAAGCTCTCCTGCATTTAAAAAAAGTGAGTTAGCATCCTTGTTAGCATGATAGCTGCCTTCATTAGCTCACCTCTGAGGGAACAGAGAGCGTTTCAGCTGCTGTTCGGATCTCTAGAACAGAGTCCATCTGCTTCTCCGTCAGGGGAGCCATGGCATCCGTGCGGCGGTCCCACAAAGASAGTTTCTCTCGGGTTTCCTTGTCTGTTAGGTCCAGAAGTGACTGATCCTTAGACGCCATCGTCAGATTAGACAGCACCAACGTCAGCAGCAGCAGGGACGCGCAGGAATTTCCTGTTCCGGGACTGTGGGCGGGGCTTGRATAAAGGCTGGTCCAATGGTAGTGCTGAGTTTTCTATTACTGYGATAAATTATTCAGAGCAGGACTGGGGAGTGAGAATATTTATTAGAAAATATATTTACTTATTTACTGCTTCATTACAAGGCACTTTGCGTGGGTATTGTTTGTTTTGTTTTTTATGTGGAATATTAAAGAATGCTTTTTAGTTCTTTTTTTTGTCTCACAGAAGAAGCCATGGACTGTAAATTCCATAAGTTTCTTTAAAAGAGAGAGATTTTTACCTCCTTTTCTAATAGTGTCATTTTATAAATTCAAAACGTTGATAGATTTTAAAAGTTAGAAGGGGAAAAAGTAAACATTTGCAAAATAACTATTTCCAATATTTTGTTTGGAACCCTTGGAAATGCACAGAAGAATCGGTTGGAAAAACAAAACATTCCAGTGGTTTGCCAAGCAGGAAACAAGCATTGCTGATATTTTTAAACTTCCCTCAGGTTATTTTGTTTTTCATACCAGACAACTCTGTCCTTATTAGATTATAGTCTCTGAGTCAAGACATTTTATACTGTAATAAACACATTCCTTTCTCCTCCCATCTACCTTTTAATGTCATAGCATCCACTTTCTGATACTAAAAATCTTGTAAACAACAGTAATATATATATTTGGATTACAATTAAAACCTATTATGTCATAACCTCATTACATACATCTCAAGGCAAACAGATTGAGGAGCAGATAGTTCTGGCAGGAATGTATATGGCAGCCTGCGCATATTATTATTATTTTTTTTTTCATTTAAAAAACAGTAGATGGAGCCCTGAGAAATGTTTCTCGAACTTTTGTACTTAAAATTAGGATTCTTCTAATTTCTTTTTATTCTCCCTGTATATTGTTTTACTGCTTAACATAAAATAAAAAGTCATACTTCACCAAATATGATACAAAATCAGTGTCAAATAACTAAGGACAAATACTTAGTTACTTCACTTAAGTAGAAATTGTGGTTATTTACACTTTTGAGAAGTAATTATTTTTCAGCCTATACTTTTAACTTCTACTCTTACATTTTCATGCAATTATCTATGTGTTATACTACTTACAATTTAAAAAAAATTAAAGTATTTCATTTATATTTTACTAAGACTTGTTTTCATTCCAGCTCAGAAAAAATAAATGAATAGAAATCTACCCAGWTACATGTAGCCCGTAAATAAAGTGCATTTGATTGTGGATGGATGAGAAGTATAAATATATACCAYTTGAATCAGATTGAATTCAGTCCATCACACCTGCATGACACAAATCATGTCACACTCCAGCAGGACATTGCATAATGTATGTTTAGCCTAGAATGAAGATGTTTGTGGCAGAGAGTAAAGTTGCTGAACCAAGTTGTGGGTGCATTCCAAATTTCTCAACATAAAAAAAATTATTTAACATTGTACTCATTATTGCCTTTAGAAAATAAAATTGTGTGTGTGTGTGTGTGTGTGTGTGTGTGTGTGTGTGTG